TTAATGATGGAACCAAACGGACGCAAATTGATGAAAAATACAACACATTTTAAGAAAAGAACTAATAGTATATTATTGGAATCAATAATTTCAACTTATGAGTAATTAAAACATAGGCCTACTTAAGAAAGCTGGTATGCTGTTTGCTTAAATTTATACTTGTGGTAATCGTGTTACTAATAAAATAATTCATATATCCTACACTATACCAGGGAGTTTTTATAGTGACTACAGTCACCAATTTCGCTGAAGCGAAAACATCAAAAGAAATGTGAATGCGCATGCGCATGAACGACGCTTTCGATTCGCGCGAATAAATTCGCCTAGTGGAAAACCGGCTTTAACCTTAACGTTTAACGGATGACGTCATAATTTATTTCATCTTGCGTTGCGGAGTACGTAAATTTCAAGATTTTACGTGCTTGACGTAGGCCCTACGTTAGTTACGGGTTTGTGCATGCGTATTTCGATTTGTTTACAAAAAGGGGCGGGGCTATCGCGTTGCATGTTGGGTACTAACGTTAAGTTAAGATTAACGTCGTGTGCCGAAAACTACCTATTCTGTCAAGACTGCACGTAGTGGTCGTCTGTAACTTTATCAGCGGCAGTGAATCAAGCAACTGTGGTAAGAATAATTATACACGTTAATTTTATTCAAGACACGTACAATGCTCCATATAATGCTTAGGAAGTAATTTTGTTTTAGTCGTGAGAACAAAAAAATATGTTACCATGAGTGGAATTGAACCAAGAACAACAATGTGATTGGAGGGCAAGTATCTTAATCACCAAACTAATAAACCCTTCTGCAAATTATGATTCGGCAAAGAATATTTAGAGGGTTTATCCCAGATATCAACAAAGATGCTTGCATTCTACTTTCAGTTTTGTTTCTTTAGTCTGTATAAGGCTTATCCAGTTTTTGTGTTGTTGATTTGACATCGAATAAATCGAATCAAATCAAACTATACCTACCTAAATTTGAAAGACTCCAAAGAAGGTGGGGGGTTGCTAGGAATTGTCCGACGGGGGGGGGGTCCAAAGTCCCCGACGGGAAAGCCCATGTCCTTGACGAAAAAAGTGGGCGTGTCGGGCGTCGCTCAAGATCTCTCGAAAGTGTTCCAGGGGCGAGAAATGTTTTCAATTTAGGGGTTTCAAAAGCTTATTTAATCGATTTTAGTGCCTACTAGTATTGTAGAAAATACATATACATTTGTTTTTTCCCCTCCCCGACGAATTGTGGTTTTTCTCCAGACGACCGTGGAGGGGGGGGGGGGAGTGGGCAGCCAAAGCGTCATGAATGGCTGTTCATTGTAGTACTGTACATTAAAACCAGAACCATTCAATAGTTTCACACCTGCCGTACACGCATTAAATAATATGAACTGATTTCAATCAGTTACAATTCTCTATTCTTGTTGAATATATTATTTTGTTATTGCTTAATATCATAACAGACGATATTATTTATATCAGTAATAATTAGAAAATTTGTAGGCCTACTCTCTGACATGTGTATCACGCAACAGGCCGTTCAAAATGAATTATTATTGACCATCGAAGTTAACAATTTTTTAAAACATAGAACGAACCCTATGGTTTTATGTATGTTATTTGTATTTTAAATATGTATGTCTATTGGAAAAATATAAAAGTTGGCCTGAGTATTCACGATCGGATACGAGAGCAATGAGCATGCATTCTTAACTGAAGTAGACCCACAAGGAACGCTCCTTTGTATTGACACTGGGGCAAAAAATGTAATGTTGGAATAAGATACGAATACAATTACAGTAAACTGATAGGTTTTTGAAAGCTTCCCTCGAAAATTATTGCGTTCGCCCGGCGACAAGTGGGGACCGTATCCATTTTGTTAAGATTGCTTAAACTAAATTCAGTCATGGCGACGCTGCGCAACCATCTTTTTGATTATTAAGTAGGCCTATAAATGCCGAAATACACAATACTCGTCTAGTATTGTTATAATAACTCTATGTATAAATTAGGCGTTCTTATCTTCTACTTCAGATGCTTTTAACTCAAGTAGATTGGCAATATTCGAGCACGATTTTTAAATTAACAGTGGATAAATTTCTTTAATATGATGCAGTTAATTTTCAATTAAATCACCTTAGAAACCATTGATTTCAACTTAACTAAAGAACATATTTAAAAATGATTGTAGTGTGCCCTAGTTAATTTATGATTATCGTTGTATACTACATAAAAATAATTTGTATTGTTAGTACCAGTTATCATCACAATGGGTGTGATTTCGCAAGCTTACGAAAACAAATACGTCGTTATCGATCGTCATTCTTGCCTAAAACATTCTTGAAAATATGCTGTAGGAGCTCAATATGATCTTTGATTCATGCAAAAAACATGAATCGCCTATGTTATGACAGATATGCTATTGTAGGGGAAGGGTTGTTTTAGAAATTGATGACATATTCGTTATTGCTTTCGTAAGCTTGAGAAAACTCTCTATTATAACATAATTACGAAACGGGCGTCTTGTGGTGTTTCATACGAAACTATGCAGGCAATGAAGGCGGTAGAGTACTAACTTTGTCGGAATCAGCCAAGTCAAAACATTTACCATACTGTGGATAAAACACATTACTAAAACAACATATTTGGATTGATGACGTAATCATGGGAGTGGTAGACTGGAAGTATGCAGTAACTTTATTTCTTGCTGCTGTAATCTATGTTGTCTGCAGAGCTAATCCTGGTGAGTTACGTTTTGTAAGTATAAATAAAAATAATATATGTATATATATATATATATATGTATATATATATATGTATATATATATATATGTATGCATATAATAATAATAATATATGTATATATATTTAGTTTATATACAATAATTATATACTTTCTCTTTAGCTAAAATCATAGGCCCTAGTAGTAAAGGGTTTAAATAGTGATTTATGTAGTTTTTTTTCTGTCATAATTTGTGTTTACTGTTTACCGTTGTTTTGTATTGATCTTGTACAATATTTATAATATCTTATGTTGAACCCCATTTGAAATAATGTTATTTCAATGGACCAAGGTAATTGAATGGACAGAAGTAATTTAATGATTTCGTATGCAATTTTAAGAAGTTTTTTTTTATTTAATAATTTTTTTTATAGTATTTGTAATCGCGGCGATCCAGCCATTGTTTCCCACTTTGTTACAATACTGTAACTTACAAAGCAACTTTTAAAAAATAGTAACATTGTATGCGTTAAAAAGATGTTGTTAAATTAGTATTAGAAACTTTTTAGTAGGAATACATATATACCTGTCTCTTATACACATCTATATATATATAAGTATATATATATATATATATGCGTGTGTGTGGGTGTGTGTGTGTGTGTGTGTTTTCATTTTTATTATCGTTTTACGCATTAAATTGCAGATTATGACTGTACTGATAAAACACCGGGTGTATATTATGCCAATCCCAATGACCCGTCATACTTTTTCATCTGTGTTGGTGGAACGCCTATTATTCAGCAATGTCCTGCAAACCTAATTTACTATGAAGATCGAGAATATTGTGACTATACTAGTAGTAGCGAAGAAGATGACAGTACAACATCAATAATAGAAGGTAGAATCTGTTAATATAAACTAGCAAGGATATAGAAATCTAGAGAAGAAAGCACAGCTTCAAAAATACTTTACGCCCTATTTATTCCATGAAAGTCGCTCTATCCAAAGGCAATGACAGAGTTTTTGCGCTGTGCTCTATGGTAGAGCGTATTTACGACATCCATCGAGGTTGATATTATTATGCAAGTAATAAAACTATTTGTAACTATTTATAATACAACAACTAAATATAAACAGATAATTGATAATTTAATGCATTAAAAAAATTCAAATTTACTTTGATAAATATGACAACATTAGGCCATAGAAAAACAGCAGGTAGTCACTTCAGCATTACGTTAGAAATACAAATGGGAAAATGGTTTTTACATTATGTATCAATAGCCGTATTCAACTGGTCGTTTTTCGTTAAACCACGCCCACCTGCGCAATGGTAAAATTATCCTTAATGAAGACGACCAGTCGAATAGATAACTGGTAAATACTCGACAACACAAAATGACTGCATACCGTAGTTACCGCGATACACGCTGCGTAATCAAGGCTGCTTGGGATTGTGGCAGTATAGGTTTTTCTTTAAAAAAAATCTTTTCATCCAGTTTTTGAATTCTGTTAGCCTACAATTATTTTTTTGACTTCAATTTGGGTAAATATTATAATTTTTATTTTCAGAAATTTAATCTTAATTATATACGCGGATGTTATTGCTAAACTGACCAATCGGCCATATTTTTTGGTCACGTGCATAACTTAACGCTGATTAACGCACTGGTTACGTTAATTTTCGTTGTCAACGAAGTCTCTTTTACGAACCAGTGGAATGAAAATAATGCTCAACTAAAATTCTTACTCAACGAAATGAACCATTCGAATAAGCCCACTGATTAAATTTAAAGCACCTAAATACGTTCAGTATTATAGTTGTAATTTAAAATTCCTCTAATAATACAAATTTACTATTTGTACATCTTTGAAGAAAGAAATTTTGTTTTTTAGTTGGTGGCTCAACCTTATCAACAACTGATGGTGTGGTGGATTGGTCAACAACTATAGGTACAATTGATCGTTTTGTGATCAAACGTTAAATTTACTGTGTTAAACAAGAATAGGTTTAGGTTGTTATAATGATGCATAGTGGCTACAAAATAAGAAATGTTTCTAAAACAATTGGAAATAGTTTTCAAACATCCAAAAAACATTAAAGCACCTAAATAAAGTACAAACAGTACAACAGTTTGTAGATATCGCCAATAAAGATGTACTTCATTTGTATATTTTGTAGCTGGATGTATAAAGATTAAACGCATCTAAATTGATGATATTGTGGCAAAAATAGCATTGGTTGTATTTATACCATCATGTTGCAAGTAATAAGTATAGCAATTAAAACAGAGTATTAGTTGTATTATGTTTCAAGAAGTAATTATTGTTTTGTAGTTGATGGCTCAACTATATCTGAGGGCGCTTTAAAAGCATCTAAGAATCACTGAAGATTAAAGCACATCAATAAAGTACAAACATAGAGAAAATATTTTCTCTATGGTACAAACAATACAAAAGTAGGCCTAGATATCGCCAAGATGTAATACGTTCATGTATATTTCTGTAGCTGATACCTCGAAACAAAGTAAGCTCCTATTTGTACTTACTTTTTAGAAATAATTATTGTTTTTATAGTAT